GCTGTTGGAGGTACCTGAGCCAGGTTGGACTTAATGCTTGGAGCCCTAACCCCAGCCACCATTCCAAGCAGTGAGCCAATCCAGGACGTGTCTAGGCCCAAGAATTTTTCTCCCTTCATGGTAAGTCCACTGTGAAGGAATCTCTCAGGAGCTCAGGAAGGTTTCCTGACTCATTTCATTTTATTTACACCCATTTCCTGTTAAACTATGGTCATTTTACTTTTCTTTTAATCACTTAATGAGAAAATGAGAATCTCAGGTCTAATGTAAATTTAAAACATGTTATTTTACTCAAATGTTGAAAAATGCTGGCTTAAAAGGGAAGCTACTAAAGTAGAATCAATGTGTTAAAATTATGTATATCAATTACATTCCATCTGCTTTTATATTAAAATGTGAATAAATAACTAGCAAAAAGAAAACATAACAGATAACTGGTTACCTTCCAACACGTATACAAAAATCAGGTGAGATGCAGCGTGGCATTTCCCTTATATGTATATTTTCTGTAACTGTCAGGCTGTGACTGGCTGATATTAGTTACCCGTTGTAAGAAGATAGTTCTGTTTGCAGCTGCATTTTGTTTCTCTAATAAGCTGTTGTTCAATATGTAGAAATTAAATTTTACTTTAGTTTAAATTCTATAACACAAAAGCAAAACAAACAAAGTGGGAAGGACCTTTTTATTGGATAATGAGGTATACAGATTAAAGGAGAGACAGAGAGGAAGATCTTCCTCTTGATGTTTCACTCCCCAAGCAGTCACATTGGCTTCAGCTGTGCCAATCCAAAGCCACTAACCAGGAGTTTGTTCCTGGTCTCCCATAGACCACAAAGAGGGAACTCCCAGAAGCAGGATTCCCAGGATACAAGCAGGGAGCTGAATCAGGAGCAGAGCTGCTGGGAAAAAGGTCTGGGTTCACATGGGATCCTGGAGGGTGCAGAGCAAGGACTAGAGCCACTTGGCTATTGTTCCTGGCCCAGTAAAAATGATTTTAATATGTACATATTCACAAGGCCATCTTGGCTTGGGCAGCCAGAGTGCCAGTGGACGATAAGCTCCTCCCACTGGCTGCTTGCTAGCGCTCTGGGGAGTTGAGGGTAATAAGTTACAGCCTAGCGACATCCATGGATAAGGCCAGAGTACATCAAGTGAGGAATGAACCCTAAGGGACACCCAGCAAAAGGACCAATGTGCTTGCAGGTAAGTGAGGGCAGTGAGACCTTGTGGTTTGGATGGGAGAGATTGGAAGATCTCTCTGTATGGGTCAGACTGATTGACCAGCCCACACGGGAGTCCTTAGATGGGCTTGTTGTTAGCACAAGGCATCACTGATGGCCCCACGCAACCACACACGAAAGCTGTTGCTGGGGTCCTGACTAGACAGAGCTAAGTCCCAGTTCCTGAGTGAGTGTCAGAACAGGGCACAGGACAAATCATGCAGACCCATAACACTAACCAGCCCGCAAGAAAACTATGTCTGGGGGTAGAGTCTGCAAAAAAATGTGGGCTCAAACCTCCAGAAATACAAGTCTTAATAGTTAGCTCCAAAGTTGTGGTGGTGATGGGCTGAACTAGTTGTGACCATGGAACGTGCCAATACCCACAGGTACTGGGATTGAGAATAGGCTGTGCAAGTCCATGCTGCAGCACCTGCATGTGTGTGATAAATCAGGGTGTAGGGCCGGCCGGGCTACAACATCCACCAGCTCACACAAAGGCCAAGATGGGGACAGGTTATGCTGGGCAAGGACCTAGCACCTACTGGCAATGTGAGATCTGTGTGTGGGTTTTGGCTGAGAGTGGTAACCTGGGAGACTCCTCTACAGGGGCATAGCTCCCACTGGTGAGCATGTGTTCCAGACCTAGGTATTGGGCATGCTGGGAAAGGTAGCCCCATCAGTTGGCAAGTGCTTGAGTTGGTTTTTGAAGGGAGTAAACTGAGCAGGGCCAAGCAAATCTCTGGGCACTGGCAAGTGCAGAACCCAGGCTGGAGTACAGGTCATGCCAGGGTAGGGCATCACACCTACTGGTATGCATGAGTTGTGGATGGAAGTAGACTGAGCAGGGCCTGGTTGCAGCACCCACCAGCGAGAATTGTGACTATGCCTGGCTAGATCATGCCACACTGCAGCATCAAAAGGCAAAGGCTGACAGATGAGGGGCTATGCCAAGCTGAGTCAGAGCAACCACTGATATGTGCAAGATCTGTGGATGGTAAGAGGCCTGGTTGTGGAGCAAATGGGACGCCCTGGTCAGAGTGTGATTCCCATTAGTATGACTCCTATTGGTCAAGCTGGGAGCTGCAGTCTGGTCTAGTATGGCTGCAGGATCCCTCTGCATGTGTGTAGGCGGGGTCTGGGATGTGCTGGATTGGGCTAGACTCCATACCTACTGGTGCTCAGGAGAAACAGGGTGGGTGTAGAACAGGCTAGGCTATATCTGCCCCTGCTGAGACATGCATGACCTGTGTTTGGGTGAGGACCAGGATTGGCTGAACTGTAGCACTGAACAACAAGAATTGGAATGGGTGAGGCCCCATCAGGAATGGCCACCGTTTCTGAGGGACAGGAGGTGGAGTAAGTATGGCCGGCCACTGGACCCTCTGGTGTGCATGAGACTTGGCATTGGGAGACATCTTAATGGAGAAGCTTGGGCAACGTCTGTGTCGGGACACATTGCATGAGCTATAATTGGGGGTGTGCCATGCCTGGCCAGGCTACAGCAGGCACTGGCAAATGCTGAGGTGAGGCAGGCTATGCCAGACTGAGACACAAAAACACAACCAACATTTGTGAAACCCTGGGGATGGTGGGAATGGCCCCAGAGAGTGGACTGTGTGGATTCCCCTCATGCGCCACTACTCTCATTGGTGAGCATGAGAGCTGAGATTGGTGCAGACCCGGCTGGGCCATCTGATGGTCTACATGTGAGCTTGCTCAAGGAAAAACAAGGCTGGGCTGAATGTAGTTTCTGTAAATGATTAAGCCGGAGTGGGTGTGGGTGGGCCAGGATTTGCCCCAGCATCTGCTGGCAGATGCTGGCATAGGAAAAATTTTTTGTCAGGCACAAGCATGGCTAGCACATTCTGGCACTCACTGCACCAATGTGGACCTGGTAGTGGTGGTGTTTGTGATGAAGTGGACTTCAATGACCATTCACACATCAGAGAGCGGATTGAGACATAGGACTGACGGGACCAGTCAGCTTTGCCTACTGGCAAGCACAGGAACCAGAGTGTAGGGGGCTGGCTTGGTGTGGGTTATTGTGGATTGCTCCGACTACACTTTATCTCACACTGATTTACGTGAAGGGCGAGTATGTTGTGGGTAGGATTTGGCTGCGCACAAACACCCGGGAGATTCTGTAATACGTAGGACTGGAGACAGACCTGGCTCAGCAATTGCAAATACCAACTTGTGCCTGGCTGATTTGGTTGATGAACTGTGCTGGATCCTATATAGACAAGCACACAGAAGAATCAGGTCTGGGATGGCCTCAGATGAGGGTTCTTCAGCAATTCACTCTTGACTGAATCACTGCACTCAGAACCCCAACGATGGAGATTTACAGTTTCCGTGGTCTGAGCGTGGAGTGCTTGTGTCAGAGCTGGGCCTCCTCAGTCTCAGAGCAGTGGACAGCCTATTCAGGTGCACATGGAGGTTAAGGCAGTATACTGGATGATCCAGAGGACACCTGTTAGCATTGCAGAGGACAAAAGAGAGAACAAATTGATCAAGTATTCCAGCCAATGTTGGCAGTGAGTTTCACGGCAGATGGAGGCTCTAAGATGGACCGTAGCAGCCAGTGGATTCTGGAGAGATTTCATCACAATTGGAGTAGCGGGACTAAAAGCAGCTCACAACGGTTGGGCTAGGAAATCCTCTTGAGAACATCATCGCATTATAAATTTCTATTTTGCTACTTGTGGATTTTGTATTGCAGCTTTTCATTTAGGAAGGATGTATAGTAACTCTAATGGAGATTATCATGTCCAGATGTGAGGAAACAATGCAGTATGCATCTCTACTTCCAGATGAAGAATCGACAGCCAGTGAAACTGTGGATACAGATTCTATTCTCAATTTATGGTTTTTAATAGAGAGCACACTCATTTCCTATTCGTGTAATTAAATGATCTAGAAAAAAGGCCCACTTCTGAGAAGAAATTGGCAGAAAAGCCCCAATGTCACCCTTCTAAAAATAAGCAAATCTTGGGCTTGGTGAGGTGGCCTAGTGCCTAGAATCCTCACCTTGAATGTGCCTGGATACTGTGTGGGAAGCAGTTTTAATCCTTGCAGCCCAACTTCTCCTCCAGCTCCCAGTTTCTGCCCTAGGAAGGCAGTTGAGGACAGCCCAAAATCCCAACGCCTGAGACCTTGCACCTGTGTTGCAGACCTGGAAAAGATCCTGGCTCATGGCGTTGGATTGTTGCAGCTCTGGCCATTGTGGTCACTTGGGGAGTGAATCATCGGATGGAGGATCTTCCTCTCTGTCTCTCCTCCTCTCTATATATCTGAGTTTACAGTAAAAATAATTTTTTTTCAAAAAGAAGCAATTCTACAGAAAGGAAGTATGTGGCAACATGCCAGTTGAGAAACACTCAGCTTAGTGTTACAGACGCTGAGTTCATCTGTTTGCTGTATGTTAATATGACTATTTCATTTAATTTATTTGACAAGTATTGTGGCAGTAATAGGACAAACAGAATGATGTCTTCCACTCGTAGGTTTATTCTAACAATGCCTGCAGCTGAGCTTAATATCAGAATCTTTCCAGAAAACAACCTTTGACAGAATCAAGAGTAAGGGATATTTTCTTGTAGTGCTGGATTTGCAAAGTAATACAGGACATAGATTTTCATGTGTTTTTGTTCTGTGATGCTGTATAGATGAACTATACTGCATCAAAAAAAATGTTGCAAATTGCATATACCTTCAGTGCACTGTCAGTCTTTCTGATTTAATGATGCAGAACTGAGGAGACATGTGCTTTATAGGTGTTGGTGTCATTTGAAGATGTGGCTGTGGACTTTACCCAGGAGGAATGGCAGATCATGGACAATACTCAGCGGACTCTGTACAGGGATGTGATTCTTGAGATCTATAACAATCTACTGTCCCTGGGTGAGTAAAATTCTGTCATGCCCAAGCAAGATGCTTCTTTAGACTTGACAAATGAAAGTAGAATTTATAAAGCGTAGTGATTGGTAGGACCAAGAGTGACTTCACAAAGTCTGCGTTATTTTCCTTTCCCAGGGTGCTACATAACAAAGCCTGATGTGATCTGCAAATTGGAGCAAGAATCAGCACCATGGACAGTGGATAAATCTGTACACCAGGCACTACCAGGTAGGTTAGTACATGGGGGCAGGGAAGCTCAATAAATGTTGACTAACATTCTGGAATTCATTCAGATGTTTTTACACTTTTTTCCTATGGGACAGCTGATAGGAAACAGGCAATCTACAGTCTCCACGTACAGATTTATTTTAGCAATGCCTTTCAAAATTTGCCACTTTTTAACCATAAGTCTAGAACTAAACATTTGTCTTTTCCATGATCCAGGCAGTTGAACCAGCATGTGCCACCACACCAGATACATTCTCAGGAGTTGTGTTTGAAGCAGAGTGGCCAACATAAGACAAATTGACACTGTAAGATATCCCAAGCCTTAGTTTGATTTCCTGTGCCACCCATCAATTTAAAATACACAACTCCAAGTAATTGAACTTTACGTTAACGCACTAATAAAGGAGATATACTGTTAATAATTAATGCTCATGAATGTCTACATTTTACTGATATTAAAATCTGTATCTGGAAAAGCAAGAAATCACATTGATTTTCCTTGAGCATTTGAAAGCAAATACTTAGAATTGATTCATGGATATGGTTCCTCTTTTTCCTCATTTCAGATCCCTACAGACATAATGAATTGCATGGAGGTAATCAGAAAAGTCAAGAAATCATCTTCAGGCAAGTTGTAATTATGAAAATTAGAGTAACCTGAAAGAGAGTTGCATTGCCAAAGAGGTTTCATATTACTTGTGGTCATAATAGCAACACAATATGAAATGAAACTTATAGAAAGAAGAAGCTTAAGAATATGATTTCTTTCTTTCTTCATTCCTTCTTTCCCTCCTTCTTCCCATTCTTTCTGTGTTTCATTCTTTCTTTCTTTTTCAGACAGAAGTTTTGTTTACAAAGTGACCAGTTGAATGTAGAAAGAACAGAGAATGAAATAATATTTTTTTGACAGAGAGTCAGTAGATGGGGTGACTATTGAATGGAAGGAGGGAAAGACACCAACATTTCTCAAAAGGGTCTTAGGTTTTTATGTGTCCCCAGACCCTTTCTTGTCAAGGCAGCAAACTTTGGGTAAGGCATTTCCTATTGGCTCTGTCAAGCTCCCAGGAAATACCTCCCACTACACATCTCCAAAAGTACCCTTGCCATTCTATGATTGTTCAGGTCTCAGAGGTGGAAAACCATATGGACATGGGTGGTAGAATTGAGACAAGTGACAAAATAAAGAGACTAATCTTCTCTCAATTCAGCTGTTAAGTGTAGAGGGGTCATCCAAAGACTCACATAAGTCATTTAAGCAGATCAAACCAAAGCAAAATAATTTGGGACTCCACGAGGCTCATCCCTCCTCTTCTGTGGATAAACCAACCTAAAGCATGAGAAAGGAGCACAGAATTGGGTGCCATTTTAGGTGGTAACCACTCAGGATCCACCTTGGGAGTTTCAAACCATGCAGAAAAGTGGAGACTGTTACTCCTCCCTCAGGATTTTTCTAACATACACACACCCAGAGCATGGCTTTCAAAACAAAAAATGAGGGGATAGAAAAGGTGCATATAGTAGGCAGTTTGTGATTAGAGCCTTTTTTGTCCTAAACTGCTGTGCTTCCTATCTGCCTAAAAGTAGAATCCATTTGAAGGTTTAGCCATAGCTAGGCAAATATTGTGTGTGGATGTTGGTGGATGTGTTCATGTTTCTGCAGAGCCACGGGGTGCCAAGGGTGATTTTCACAGGGTCAGTCCCACTGGAGAGAAGGCAGACAAAGCTTTTTTCATGCCCCATGTTGCACACCAGAGCAAATGTTACTAGGAAAGCTCTCCTAAGCTTAGTATTAAAAAAAAAAAAAAAAAAGAAAGAAAGAAAAAGAAACTGAGAAAGAAATGCAGACAGAAGTTCTACTTGCATAGTGATGAGGTGAACTTGGAAGAGGGGTGGGGGCAAACGGTGCCTTTTGAAAGGAGACAGGGAAATACAGTATAACCAATTCAAAATGTGTTCTTCCTTTTTCCTAGGAAGCCTGATGAAATGCCATTTGGTACAAAGCATGCTTCTGATGTCCCTGAGCAAAACGTCCTGATTCAGGAAAATCTCAGTCAGCATGACAAGATGCACATTTGTCAGCGGTCTTTTGAACACAATGGGAAAGCAAAACCTTTCACCAGGAAGAAGATATTCGTTGTGTGTGAGAAAGTTGACATCAATGACCCGTGTCATAAGCAAGCTGTCAATTGTGGAGAAAAAATTGAGGTTGAATGGAAAATGTTGCATAACAATGCTAACTTTGGCACAAAGCAGCAAACACAATCAGAAGAGAAACAGCATGAACATTTCCAGAGTGAGAAAGCTCTTATCTATAAAACAGATGTGAAAGTAAACCAGATACCACAAGCAGGAAAACATCAGTGTATATGTGGCTACTGTAAAAAATCTTTTAGCTATAAATCTTACCTTACAACCAATCAGAGAACTGACATGGGAGAAAGTTTCTATGTGTGCAATGAATGTAAAGAGAACATAGGTCATAAGTCAGAACTCACTAGAGAGCAGATAGCTCAGACTGGAGAGAAGGCAAATCAATGTACAGAGCTGGGAAAAGCTTTTTCCCGGAAATCACATCTAAGCTCACATCAGAGAATCCACACCGGGGAAAAGGCTTATGAATGTAGCCAGTGTGGAAAAACTTTTTCTTGGAATTCACATCTAAGGTCACATCAGAGAATCCACACAGGCGAAAAGCCTTATGAATGTAGCCAGTGTGGAAAAGCTTTTTCTTGGAAATTACAGCTAAGCTCACATCAGAGAATCCACACAGGCGAAAAGCCTTATGAATGTAGCCAGTGTGGAAAAGCTTTTTCCCGGAAATCACATCTAAGCTCACATCAGAGAATCCACACTGGGGAAAAGCCTTATGAATGTAGCCAGTGTGGAAAAGCGTTTTCCCAAAAATCACATCTAAGGTCACATCAGAGAATCCACACCGGGGAAAAGCCTTATGAATGTAGCCAGTGTGGAAAAGCTTTTTCTTGGAAATTGCAGCTAAGCTCACATCAGAGAATCCACACTGGGGAAAAGCCTTATGAATGTAGCCAGTGTGGAAAAGCGTTTTGCCGGAAATCACATCTAAGCTCACACCAGAGAATCCACACTGGGGAAAAGCCTTATGAATGTAGCCAGTGTGGAAAAACTTTTTCCCGAAACTCACATCTAAGCTCACATCAGAGAATCCACACCGGGGAAAAGGCTTATGAATGTAGCCAGTGTGGAAAAACTTTTTCTTGGAATTCACATCTAAGGTCACATCAGAGGATCCACACAGGCGAAAAGCCTTATGAATGTAGCCAGTGTGGAAAAGCTTTTTCTTGGAAATTACAGCTAAGCTCACATCAGAGAATCCACACAGGCGAAAAGCCTTATGAATGTAGCCAGTGTGGAAAAGCTTTTTCCCGGAAATCACATCTAAGCTCACATCAGAGAATCCACACTGGGGAAAAGCCTTATGAATGTAGCCAGTGTGGAAAAGCGTTTTCCCAAAAATCACATCTAAGGTCACATCAGAGAATCCACACCGGGGAAAAGCCTTATGAATGTAGCCAGTGTGGAAAAGCTTTTTCTTGGAAATTGCAGCTAAGCTCACATCAGAGAATCCACACTGGGGAAAAGCCTTATGAATGTAGCCAGTGTGGAAAAGCGTTTTGCCGGAAATCACATCTAAGCTCACACCAGAGAATCCACACTGGGGAAAAGCCTTATGAATGTAGCCAGTGTGGAAAAACTTTTTCCCGAAACTCACATCTAAGCTCACATCAGAGAATCCACACCGGGGAAAAGCCTTATGAATGTAGCCAGTGTGGAAAAACTTTTTCTTGGAATTCACATCTAAGGTCACATCAGAGGATCCACACAGGCGAAAAGCCTTATGAATGTAGCCAGTGTGGAAAAGCTTTTTCTTGGAAATTACAGCTAAGCTCACATCAGAGAATCCACACAGGCGAAAAGCCTTATGAATGTAGCCAGTGTGGAAAAGCTTTTTCTTGGAAATTGCAGCTAAGCTCACATCAGAGAATCCACACTGGGGAAAAGCCTTATGAATGTAGCCAGTGTGGAAAAGCGTTTTGCCGGAAATCACATCTAAGCTCACACCAGAGAATCCACACTGGGGAAAAGCCTTATGAATGTAGCCAGTGTGGAAAAACTTTTTCCCGGAAATCATATCTAATCTCACATCAGAGAATCTATACCGGGGAAAAGCCTTATGAATGTAGCCAGTGTGGAAATGCTTTTTCCTGGAAATCACAGCTGAGGATACATCAGAGAATCCACACGCGGGAAAAGCCTTATGAATGTAAATAAAGCCGAAAAGCTCAGAAATCACATCTAAGCTCACATCAGAGAATCCATAAACAGTGAAAAGCCTTAAGAATGTTGCCAGCGTGGAAAAAGTTTTAGTGATAATTCATTCCTAATCATACTTAACAGATTCCACACAGGGTAAAAGCTTTATGCATGTAGCCAGTGTGGAAAAGTTTTTTGCACAAAATCAGACCTAATGAGACATCAGAGAATGCATACTGGACAAAAGTGTGTGAAACTATCATTTCCACATTTTCTTTTTCTCCTTCCTGTTTCTGTGGTGGGGTACTACTAGAAGGCATTCCCACCCTCTTAACCACCCAAGTACCCAGGGATGGAGACTCCCCCTGCTGACCGCCCAGGGTCCTTAGGTGGGGCATACACCGAGGGTTCTGCCTAGGTGTTTTCAATAGTTCTGATATGTTGTTAGGCTCACTGACTTAAGGGAATACTTTGTATGCCCATTGACTGACAGTAAACCTTAGAGTCTGCATTCACCCAGACATTTGTTGTCGTTGTTTGGCTGGGGTGGTTTTCCAGTTTATTCTGTCCTCCCTCTGTGATGGTCCAGAGGTCCTCTTCAGGGCTCAGTGAGTTATAATATTCTATATTGGCTGGGCCAGCTGCCCATGAATCCAACTTTTTTGCTGAGGAGCATTAGTTGTCAAAAGTGTGCCATGACCTGAGCTAGGTAACCAGGGCCCAACAGGACCATCATCAATGGGGCTCATGGACACAGCATCAACTGTGCAGACTGGTGAATGGCCAAGGCCAGGAGATGCAGGCCTGCGAGTTCCCCTACAACCAAGCAACATGGACCCAGCATCAATCACACTTGTGAGCCTAAGGATTTGGGCCAAGCAACCTAGTCCCGACTGGATCGCCAACTCCCAATGCTAACAGACCTAGCACTCACTACAAAGGCAGGGCAAGGACACAGGCCAATTGACACACATACCTCTGAATACCATAGGATCTTGGCTCACGAACCTGGCAGCAACATCATAACACACCTAGGGTCAAAGCACAGCTCTCAGGGCCCGGGGTGAGGCTGAAGAAGGGGCGGACCAAGCCACCCCCAGAAGAGTCCGGCCACCACCCGACGCTCCCAGGGGCAGGGAGTGGGGGTGCTGGGTACTCAGCTAAGGGTCACAGACTGCTCATGGCCGGCCACTCTTTCTCCTGGCTAAGGAACTCTTAGTGCCAATCCTGGGACATGCATAAGCCAGTGTGGGTATAGGTTGGTTGGGGATTTCCAAGGCAATAGCTGGCAGATGCTGGCACAGGGCCCGGATTCTGTCAGACATAGTCATGGCTAGACAGATGCTGGCACCGGCTGGCAATTATGTGGACAGGATAGTGGGGCTGGTTGGGATGAACCGGGCTTGAATGCCCCTTGAGATGTAAAAGAGTCAATTTGTATATGGGACAGATGAGACCAGTCAGCTGTACATAGTGGCAAGCATGGGAACCAGGGTAGAGTGTAACCACCACTATGTGGTGTTTAGTGTGGGTCGCTCCAAGTAGGCATCAGCTTGCACTGGTTGGCATGAAGGCTGAATATGTGGTGGGCAGTTTCAGGCTGGAATTTAACACCCATTGGTTTGCGTAAAACACTGGGTTAGAGACAGAACTGAGCCAGCAATTGCCAACTACCATCGTGTGCACAGGCTGATTTGGGTGATGGACTGTGCCAGACCATGTCTTGGCAAACACACACAAGAATCAGTTCTTGGATCCGCACCACCAACAACCTAGATATATAGGTCACCTGATATCTCCCTAGTCCTGGGACCTGCTCAAACCACAAGTCGGAGAAAGGTTGTTACAGACAACGGCACAGCCTGAGCACAGTGTCACAGGATGTGGATACTGGTGAGCCAGGAGCTGCGGCTTTCAGAGACTACGGTGGAAATCTAACAGGAGATCCCCGACCTGGAACTTGCTAGAGGGAGTGGCAAAAGAGATTGCAAACAAATAGCCATGTACCAACTGCAATAAGTAAAATCAGACTGCAGACCTGTGGGTGACACAACTTAGAAACTGCCCCCAGGAGAAGAATCTGCTAACCGGAAGCACAATGACCAAGAGCTAAAGAAGATACAGAGGCACAATGAATATTACTGAACACTCCCCTGCAAAGCAACAAAACTCTAGGCCAACCTCAGAGTAAACTGAGGAAGACATCGAGAGAATGGTAGCGACAGAATTCAAAACACTTGGTATAAAACTTCTTATCCACAAGGAGAAGCACATAAAGCAGGTGTTCAAGGAATTTCAGGAATAGGTTGCAATGGAAATGAATCAAATGGAAACTGATACATGTGAAATGAAGAATACAGTGGAGCAAACTAAAAGTACTGTGGAGAGTCACCAAAACAGAATGAAGGAGGCAGAAGAAGATAGAACCTCAGAATTGGAAGATATGTCCTGTCACCAGGGGGAAACAAACAAAAAGCTGGAAGCAGAGCTGAATCAGGCGAAAAAAAAAAAAAAGTTCAAGAATTTAAAAACACTATGAAGAGGCCTGATATAAGAACAATGGGAGTCCCAGAAGGTGCAGAAAGAGAAACTGGGATTAAAGGTATATTCAATGAAATAATAGGGGAGGGAATCGCCCTAATTTGTTGAAAGAATTGTGAAACAACATCCAGGAGCGGCACAGAACTTCCAACCGAGCTGAACAAAACCCATCTTCACCATTACATATGATAATCAATCTCTCTTCAATTGAACATAAGGAAAAGATCCTTCCATGTGCACATAAAAAAAAAAAATCAACTGACATATAAGGGAAAGCCAATTAAACTCACAGGACCCCTCTCACAATAAACACTATCGGCAAGAAGAGGATGGAGTGGCATATTCCAGAGTCTAAAGGAAAAAAAAAATTGTTGGCCCAAGATAACATATCCAGCAAAGCTTTCTTTTGTCTTTGAAAGTGAAATGAAATTCTATAGTTCAAAACAATTTGCCTCTTCCAAACCTGCCCTACAAAGGATACTTCAAGATGTTCTCTTGACAGAGACGAGGAATAGCACCCACCAAAAACAAAGGCAAATATGAAGAACATCCCAGCAAAGTGACAACAGAAGACTAAATCAAGGAAAAACCCATTGCGACAAAGACAGGACTGAATGACCGCCAATGTGTGTTAACCCTGAACGTGAACTGCCTTAGGAGCTGGCAAAGAGCTGCTGCGCTGTGAACCTGTCCTCGGGCAGGTAGACGGTGCAGCCACCACTCATCAGGTAGTCTGCCATGCTGCTGCTGCTGCTACTGATGGGAACAGCTGAGATCTGATGGAAACACCGCGCGGGCAGACAGGCTGCCACCACCACCACCACCACTGCTCTGGGTGCTGCTGCTGCTGATTCTGCTGCTGCTGCAGACGCCACAGAAAAGCTGCATCTGCAGGCTGGGTGGGCCTGGGGGAGGGGCAGCCCTGGCACAGCTCTTCCTGCTTTCCCTGCCCTCCCCACCCACCAGCCCGCCCTCTGGAGGCCGCCCTGCCCTGCCCTGCCCCACTCCTCTCTGCACAAAAGGTTCCGCCTTACTCCTATCAAGATACATTTCAGGGCCCGGAGGCGTGGCCTAGCAGCTAAAGTCCTCACCTTGAATGCGCCAGGATCCCATATGGGCGCCACTTCTAATCCTGGCAGCTCCACTTCCCATACAGCTCCCTGCTTGTGGCCTGGGAGAGCAGTTGAGCACATCCCAAAGCCTTAGGAACCTGCACCCGTGTCGAAGACCTGGAAGAAGTTCCTGGATCCTGACTTCGGATCGGCATAGCATGGGCCGTGGCGCTCACTTGGGAAGTGAATCATCAGATGGAAGATCTTCCTCTCTGTCTCTTCTCCTCTCTATCTCTCTGACTTTGCAATCAATCAATCAATCAATCAAAAGATACATTTGAACATTCAGAGTGTTGATTGACATTTTACATTATGCAGATATAGATTTACATTGTATGTTGCTATGCACATATTTTTCCAGGTGTTTGAAGTTTTGAACTATATCTTCGGATTGGGTCTATAGGCTTGGCTTATAAAAGAGGGAGATACTGCCAATCAAAGGTGTGGGAACAACTACAGAAGATCTACAGATAGAACTAGGGGAACTCCCACAACCAATATGTAAATTGCTCAAACCCTCTTCCCTTATCCGACGTGGCCCTCAGTCTGTAAAACCTGATGCTACTTGGGTGTGGACCAGTTGAGCAAGGCCACCGTTCTTGCCACGACAGGAGATAGACAAGATCAACCTGAGCCAAGGACCCAGTGGGGTGCCTGAGAACTGCCACTGGGAGACTTGATGGAGGCGCTTGGGAAACTGCTTCATCCCGAAGCAGTCCCTGCAGGTGCGCACAAGAAGCAAGGCAAAGAGCAGCCCAGAGAACGCCAGGTGCCAGTACCTGCAGGCATACTTATGGGTCAGATCTGGGGACAGAGCAGACTGGGCCAGTTCATAACACCCACTGGCAGATCTGAGAACCAGGGCAAGGAGAAGGAGGAGCCAGATTGGGCTGCCACACCAGCCAGTTCCCATTAGGGTCAGGACAAGAATCAGGCTGGACTGGCATAGGCTGCAGGATCGACCAGCACAGCAGCAGGAGGTAGAACAGGGAGCAGTAGAGGCAAGATCAGGTTACACAAATCAGATTTGGATGCTGAGCTGAGGCATGCTAGTCTGGTGCCAGCAGGGTTCAGATTCATGAGTCCCAGGGCCATGGGATCTGACAAGACTCCAGGTAGCTTGGCTCAGGTTCTGGGACTCACCCGTGTGCTGAGGTGTGCATTTGTGAGCCCCTGGGGTGAGGAGAGAACCGGCAGGACTTGGGTCACCTAGCCCAGATCAAGGAACCTGCCTGTGAGGTGGGTGTTGGGTTTGTGATGCCCAAGGGTGCAGGATCTGATGGGGTTTGAGTCATTTGCCTCAGGTCCTTGGGCTTCCCTGGAAGGGGGTGCAGTTTGTGAGCTGCAGGAGTGGGGCATCCAGCCGGACTCAGGTCATCTGGCCTGTGTCCTGGGGCTTGTCTACTCAGTGCTTGTCAGGTTTGTAAGCTGCAGGGGTGGGAGATGCAGTGAGGCTTGCATGCCTGGCCTGGATCCTTGGGATCACCTGCCCAAGACCATTTCCTACCCCCAAATGCTTAAATGGCCTTCAGTGTGCGCTCCGCTCCCAAATGCTTCCAAAGCAGCCTGCATCATTCACTGCGGAAGCCAGTGCATTCCTGAGTGGATGCTGGGCATTGTCCACTAGCCAACCCAATTGGAGCTTTGGGGACTAGGTGGTGCTGAATTGTTGCCTAGGGGCAGGCATGGCTAGGGATACCATCCAAGCAGGTAAGTGAGGAATGAATTCTGAGGGATGCCCAAGAACAGGGCCACTATACTGACTGGTAAGTTGGGGACTGAGACTTGGTGGTATGGAGGAGATTGGAAGATCTCTCTGTGTGGCTCAGACTGATTCACCAGCCCACATGACAGTCCTGAGATGCACTTGTAGGCACACAGCCTCGCTGACAGACACCTGCCACCCCACATGAAAGCTATGGCTGTGGGGCCTGTCTAGCAGAGCTAGATCCCAGTGCCTGATGGAGTGTAGGAACAGGGGCCAAGTCACATCAGTACGCAGCGTGCGAGAGTCCCATGTCCGGGGGCTAATACTGCAGGGGAAATGTGGGCCAAACTCTATGGAGATACAAGTCCCACTGGTTAGCTCAAGAGTTGGGGTGGTGACTGGCTGAATGAGGTGTGAACATGGAACCCAGCAGCACTCCCAGGAACTGGTGCTGAAAAGAGTTTGGGCAGGTCTGATCTTGCATCTGCATCCATCCTAAAACAGGGTGTCAGATGGGCTGGCCCGCATCATCCTCCACCTCATAGAAAGGCCGAGATGGAGGCCAAGCCATGCTCAGAGAGGGCCTAGCAACTGCTGGTACATGTGAGATGTGTGTGTGTGTGTGTGTGTGGGTCAAGTGGGAGAACACTGGAAAACCCCCTGTGGGGCCATAACTGCCACTGGAGAGCACATGTTTCAGTCCCAGGTGTCAGGAAAGCCAGGCAGGGGAGCCCCATCTGTTGGTAAATGTGTGGGTTGGTTTTCTCAGGGGGTGGACCAGGCAGGGCAGAGCAGACCTTAGCCCACTGGTGAGTGCAGAAACCAGGCTGCAGTGCAGCTCATGCTGAGGTAGGACATCACACCTACTGGTTGACATGAGCCAGGGATGGGAGCAGACTGAGCAAGGCCAGGTGGCAGGACCTGGCAGTGAGAGTTGGGACTGGGGCTGGGTAGTTGAGCCCACCTGGCAGCATCCAAAGGCAAAGGTTAAGAGAGATGATGGACCAGAGCAGGCGGTTCAGAGCAACCAGAGGCATGTGG